GCCGGACACGGTGTCGGCCGCTCATCAACGGGCCTTACTTGTCGAGCAACAGCAGGCCCGCCGTGCTCCTTCGGCGCCGGGTTCTAGTTGGCGCACCGGTCAGCCGTCATCCTCGGCTTCAGCGCCTGCCCGGTCTCCGGCTTCGGGGGCTCCGCAAACAGGTCGCAGCTACACGCCGGGCCCGACAGGAAATTTAACTCCGGGAGGATCGACGAGCACGGCTGTGGGTTTTTCCAGTCAGCCTGGTATGGACGGTTCTCGGACAGGAGGTGGAATGAGGTGTTTTTCTTGCGGGGAATCGGGCCATCGCCAAACGGCCTGTCCCCGCCGTGCCGGTTCCCATACTTTGGTGGCTGATTTTGATATTTCCGGACATGAGGAGGCGGGTTATGATGGTCCGCCAGTTTATGATGACGAGCCCGAGCCGGCTGAGGAGCATATTCACGGAGATGTGGGGCATGCGTTGATTTTACGGCGCTCCTGTTTATCGCCTCGGGCTTCTACTGAGGACTCTCTACAACGCCACAATCTTTTTGAGTCTACGTGTACTGTGGGTGGTCGTGTCTGCCGCTTCATTATTGATACATGGTCCTGTGAAAATGTGGTCGCACAAGATGCGGTTGAGCGTCTTCAACTATCCTCCGAGCCGCATCCTAATCCCTATACATTAGCTTGGATTCAGAAGGGTAACTCTGTATAGGTCAATCGGCGTGTTTTGGTGCATTTTTCGATTGGTCCCAAGTACCGGGACACGGCGTGGTGTGACGTGGTCCCTATGGACGCATGTCATCTATTATTGGGTCGTCCATGGCAGTTTGATCGTGCAGTGTCTTACGATGGCCGTCTCAACACTTACAGCTTCTTGTTCGAGGGTTCTCGCATGGTTCTGCATCCGTCCCTTCCTCGCCCGGTTTCTACTGGTTCTTCGGCCCCGGTCCTCTTTCTCTCTCGGGCCTCCTTTTTGGGCGAAATGGAAGGGGCTTCGGTTTTTTTGCTTCTCCTCGGTGCGGATGTTGGGGGCGACAGTCCCATTCCGGACGTTATTCGGCCCTTGCTCGAGGAATTCTCTGATGTTTTCCCGGCGGAGTTACCAGCTGGCCTTCCTCCACTTCGAGATATCCAACATCACATCGATCTCATTCCGGGGGCTTCTCTTCCGAATCGGCCGCACTATCGTATGAGCCCAGCCGAACACGAGGAGCTCTGGCGCCAGGTGGAAGACCTTCTCACACGCGGGGTTGTTCGTCGTAGTCTGAGCCCGTGTGCTGTTCCGGCTTTGCTCATCCCGAAGAAGGATAGTTCATGGCGCATGTGTGTTGATAGTCGTGCCATTAATAAGATCACTGTGTGCTATCGATTTCCTATTCCCCGCCTTGACGACCTCTTGGATCAGTTGCATGGGGCTTCCGTCTTCACCAAGCTCGACCTCCGTAGTGGCTATCATCAGATTCGTATTCGTCCGGGCGATGAGTGGAAGACTGCTTTTAAGATTCGGGAGGGTCTCTTTGAGTGGCTTGTCATGCCGTTCGGTCATTCTAATGCACCTAGCACTTTCATGCGGGTGATGAACCAGGCCTTACGTGATCTCATTGGGCGTTGTGTTGTCGTTTATTTCGACGACATTCTCATTTATAGCCGCTCTATTGACGAGCATTTGGGGCATGTTCGTTCGGTGCTGCAGATACTGCGTTCCGAGGCCTTTTATGCCGCGCCTCTTAAGTGCTCCTTTGTGGTCGACTCAGTTCTTTTCTTGGGCTTCGTCATTTCGGCTGCCGGGATTCGCGTGGACGACAATAAGGTTGCCGCTATTCGGGAGTGGCCGACTCCGACCTCATTCACGGAAGCACGTAGCTTCCACGGGTTAGCATCTTTCTATCGTCGTTTCATTTCACATTTTAGTTCTATCACAACTCCTATTACCGACTGCCTTCATGGCAAGTCATTTGTTTGGACTCCTCAGGCCGCTGCTGCTTTTGATCTTATCAAGAGCAAACTCACCTCTGCTCCGGTTTTGGTCTTGCCTGATTTTTCTCTCCCATTTGAGCTTTCTTGTGATGCTTCGAAGGTTGGGATTGGTGCTGTGTTGAGCCAGGAGGGGCGCCCGGTCGCTTACTTTAGTGAGAAGTTGTCCGGACCGCATTTACGTTACAGCACATACGACGTCGAGTTCTATGCTGTGTTTCGGGCTGTTCATTATTGGCGACACTATTTATTTCATCGTGAGTTTGTCTTGTTCACGGACCATGAGGCCCTTCGCCACCTTTCGTCTCAAGGTAATATTTCTTCTCGCCATGCTACTTGGTCATCTTATCTTTAGCAGTTCACCTTTGTTCTTAAGCATCGATCGGGTGCTTCGAATCGGGTGGCCGATGCCTTGAGCCGTCGTTCTTTACTGTTGACTGATATGCGGGTTGAGGTTGTGGGA